TATATATATATTCACTTATAGTTGACATACAATATTATACAACATCAGCTTCAGGTGTACAGTGCAGTGATCAAGCCTCTTCCCCATCCATGATGTGGTCTCCCTAGCAAGACATGTGACCACCTGACACCCCACAAAATATTCATAACTCAGGTGTTCTGACTCTTAATGTAACTCTTTTATGGAGAAAATATACTTTCCATTTCATCAGACTGGTTATGGTAATTTTAAGGACATTTGCTTTCATATTTTATTAAAATAATTGTACTCGTATATTTTATATGTCATTTATCTTATGAAATGATGGAATATAACATTTTCAGTCACATTTTCAGTCACTGCTTCAAGTTGCTTCATAGCTGCAGGAAGGAGCATTTGTTGAATATCTATTATGTACCAGAGTCTGTGCTTGGTGCTTTCCCATGTTTCTTGTTTAATTTTCACTAAATCCTACAGGGTAGATATTGTCCATTTTTACAAATAAGAAAGGTGAAGCTTGGAGACTCTAAAGTTTATTGCCACAACCACTTAGGTAGTGTACTGTAGAACCTAGAGTGTGAACTTGGCTCTCTCTGATTCCTGAGCTTTTCTCTCCTCTACATGGGCCTTCTCCAAATGACCTCATTGATAACTTTTTAAACAGTCATTAATTAATCATATCTGGTACCCCATAAGAGGTAAATTGCTTTGTCTTGTACTCTTTATATTTCATTCTGTTGCTTTCTCATCTTATGAGGACAGTTGCCTAAACTTGACAGTCACCAGTGGCATGCAAAATATGGTAAAGATACAAACTCTTAGGGCTTGATACTGTTTTATAAAGGAAATACTTTGGGGATAAAATTACTAGAGTTTAGAGAACAATTGTAAAATTTCTTTGTTCTCTTTGAATGTTAAAAATTATATATTTTAATGAGTATTTTTTGGCAAATTTGCCAATCTTATCTGAATCTATTTTGCATTTCCTCTAGTTAAACATTTTACATAGAGATATTTTAAGATCAAAATGAATAAACTGATAAAAGCAGGGTAGTTTAATAAAATGTAATTTTCACAACGTTTTATATTTATTTATAAACACAGGCCATATAGAACTCTGCAGTTTTTACCACACTCAAGATTAGGGACTATTTATTGTTAAATTACTATGGCCATTACACAGTTTGGAAATTACAAAATGATGATACTACAGTTCACTTTGTTAGCCATTAATTATATTAGTATAACCAGTATGCCACATTTTCCATTGAGTGGAGAGGATAGATATGTTGTTATATTTCTTAAATATTCCTATGTCTTATTTTAAATTTTTAAATACAAGGAGATTAAGATTTTAGCTTTCACGTCATATTAAAAACAAAAAATGGTTTCTCCTCTGCAAGCTGGCATAAAATATCCTCTGCCTTACTTTTTGGATAACCATGTTTGTGTCGCCTTTCAGACTGGGAAAAGAACAGTTACTTGCAGAGGAAGAGGATGATTTGAAGGAAGTAACTGATTTGAGGAAAATAGCCGCTCAGTTATTGCAGCAAGAGAAGAACAGGTATTTTTTTCAGTAATGAGATTTAAATTGGCAAATTTTATAATTGTTAAATCTGATTATTTAAATATTATCAAATAAAGCATATGAAGTTTCCAGTAAACAATAATAGAACCATCTTAAGGTTGACTTCAAGTTACTAACTACTAAAAGACAATAGGAAATACTTAGGAGAGGAATATAAAGTTACATACACAATTAAGAGAATGTACTCACATTGTCATATTTAAGTATTGCTTTGGCATCTCTTTTTAATTCGTGTGTACTAAATAATAATAGCTGATTTATTTGTTGATATTCATTTTAGCTCACAAAAGCGTTAGATATGGTATAAACATTTTTTCCAGGTATATGTCATAAGTAATATATAGTGTGTTTTGCATCAGTTTCCAAATTCTTTGAGATATGTGGAAACTCCTTAGAATTGGATTGTATAATGGTTGATTAAATAAGCGTGATGATTTGCCAGTCATACATGCACTTTGGTCTGTTTCTTGGTCAGTGAGCATTTCTCCATCTGGCTAGGCTTTCTCCAAATGCGTGTGTTTGGCAATGAGAAGGACATTGTGTAAATGAGTATAAAATCAGTGCATTTTTAACACAGGAAAAGTTCTGTGTGCTTCTGACGGTCAGCTATTATTGACATGTTCATATACTGAGAGTACCACATTTTTTGTTTTGAAATAACAAAGGAGATGATTTATGTGAAGTATGAGTGGGGGCATCAGGGGGAATGGGTGAACTGCCTTTCTTTTAGTTTAAATAAATTGAATAAAAAAATTTTAAAGGGGAGCATTAGTATTTATAGGGAAGACCTAAAAGGAGTACCTGACAAAGGATTATAAACCTTGTGATAATATGCTTATTTTTGATGTGACTATTGTTGCTTAGTTTAACCTAAAAAAAATCTGAAATGTTTTTTGTTTTGAGAAAATTAAAAGAATAATTTTGGTCCTTTAATATGAATAATTAATAAGAATTATTTACTTCACTTACTCAAAACAATAAATGTTTATGGATCACATAACCGTGCTTTGGGACTTTTAAATTTAAGTATACTGGCATTTGCTTAAATATGCTTTGAAAAATAATTACTATTAAAACTTATCAAGTGTATGAAATATTTAATAAAAAGTTAAATAGTAAAAAAAACCCCAACTTTTCAAATGACAAATCTTTAGTTTTAGGGGCCATGATTTATTTATTTTTTTAGCTGAGCCATCCTGCCACCTTTTGGCAGCTCAGTGGCAGCTCAGCGGCAGCTCAGCTCAGGCCGGGCATCAAACCGCTATTGCTCTTAACCAACTGAGCCACTCGGCTGGCCCCTGCCATTATTTTTTTTAATACTCAGTATCTTTTTTGCACAGCTACTAATACATTTATAGAATTAAAAACTATACTAGAAAATATCACTCATCTTTACCCCTTCTATAGCTAATGTGCCCTCATTCCCAGTTCACCTTTTTCTTCTACCATAACTTTCTATCACCCTTTTCTGTGACGTTTATTTTTTCAGCTTCTCCTATGGTTCATTTCTAATAGACCTTTTAAAAAAATCGACTACTTATGAGGTTGTGTGTGTTTTTCGCACCTCTAATATAATCAAAGTGTTGTTTGCTCCCATGGTTTTAACAGATTTGATGAAGCAAGCCACCACCCACTCTGTGTAGCTTGCAAAATAGTTGGGTTTCTGTCTCCTCTACCTGGCAGGTGAAAGAATTGTACGTATCATTATGGGCACAGAATATTGATTGTAGAAGAACCCATAACAATGTCCATTTCTCTGATTGTGTTAAGAATAGAACATGGGTGCATAATTTTACATTTTAATATTGTCATATATAACATTTCTATATTTTCAATTTTTTGTTATTATCGTATTAGTTTTTCATGCATCCCTGTGACTTGAATTATTCNATATATATATATATATATATATATATATATATATATATATATATATTCCCCCCACGGGATGTAAAGTACAGCATAGGGAAAATGGTTAATGGTATTGTAACTATAATATATGATGTCAGAGGGGTAGTAGATTGGGGGGATTATCACTTTGTGAGGGGTGCAGATGTCTAACTATTGCATAGCTTTGTACATCTGAAACTAATAAAAAAAGAAAACTGGAGATGTAAAGCAAATATTCTATACTTCATATGTGAAATTAAAGCAATGTAATCCTTAATAATATGCATAAATGCCTTAGTTGTACTTGGGCTTATTTCTTTCAGCCATCAGATGACGACACTATCAGCCTTCACTCTCAAGTCTCAGAGTCAAATAGAGAGCAGACATCAAGAAATGACAGTCACACAGTAGGAAGTAAACCTTACTCTCAGAAAGGTAATTCATATGGTGTCTGCTATTTTTGTTTCATGGACATAGCCCCTATTGATAATGGGCTTTAAAAAATTATATTATCTTTGGCCAGCTCTTTTATTGAGAAAATATACTTTTATTCTAAGCACTGCAGTGTGAGAGCACACTGTGTATTCTTCATATTTTCTAATAAATTTTAATCTGTACTTAGACCAAGAGGTGTATGATTTTATTGACCCCAACACAGAAGACATAGCAGTTCCTGAACAAGGAGATGCACATATTGGATCCTTTGTCTCTTTCCGTAAGGTAAAGAAAACTTTGAAACAGTATTAATAACATGTTCACCTTAATCTCACAAAAATGGAAGATTGAATTTAAAATGATAACTTTCTTTTATATAAGGGAAAAGAAAAAGGTCCTGAAAAATCTCAGAAAAATGAAGAATTGGGAGATGAAAAAAGGTAAGCAAACATGAATTCTCAAATTGAAATGTTACAAATAAATGTTTGAAATATTCATTAGATGTTCTACTTGAAAGGGTACTTGAAAGAATATAGTTTTTTTGTTCATTTACCTGTTATGCTCCGATAGTTAATTTGTAAATACTTCATCTGCCTGCATTCTTCAATTAAACTGAAAATTATAATAATCATTTAAATTTGAGTGCCATATACACACTGTTTCCCCCCTAGAAGTGGAATAATAATGTTTTCTATTATTATTATTGAGAAGGACTGGACCTTCACATACATTGCTTCATTTGAGCTATTTAGCAACTCTTTAAAATGGTAGTATTGGCATTATTTGACCAATAAGGAAACTGAGACCCAGCTATTCAAATGTTTGCAACTCAGGTGTTCTGACTCTTTTTTTTTCCTTTTAATAATTTTTT